GCCATGTGGGTCACCTCCGGGGCAGGGATTGAACTCATGCTGAAGTGGCTTTAGCCTCTGAGTGCTGTGCTTTAACCTGCTGCGCCACCAGGGAGGGCCCAGAATAATTTACTTTTTAATGATAACTTTAATGTTAGATTTCTATAGAAGAAAATAATGTGTATATATACAATCACAATTTCACTGAATAGAATTATGTTTGTGAGATAAAATCAATATCTGGGAATATTTGAGACATGATAGAGCAAAGCCATATTATAAAACTGGGATCGATGAACCATAAGTTGATTTTTTAAATTTAGTTGCTTATTAAAATTAAGGAAAAAATGACATTCCCCTACCATTTTTTTTTTGATGCACAAATTGTTACCTCAGAACTAATTATTCTATAATTGTACAGTTCATTCATTTTTAGTATACTTACATAGTTGCAAACATCACAGTAGTCAGAGTTTAGAACATTTGTATCACCCCAAAAGAATATTTTATGCCAGGTTGCAGTAATTTCCTTTTACCACCCCCACCCCCAACAAGTACTAACCCCAAAAGAATATTTTATGCCAGGTTTCAGTAATTGCCTTTTACCATCCCCACCCTCAACAAGTACTAATATACTTTCTGATTCTGTGGTTTTACATTTTGGAGATATTTTATATAAATAGAAGTATACAAGTGTTCAGCATATGATGTCTTAATACAGTGTTTTGAAGTTTATTGGTAGGTTGGTCTTTTCAGTGCTGAAATACCATTCTCTGTTATGGGTGTAGTACATTCTATTCATCCTTTAATAGATATTTGTGTTGTGTTGTTTCCACATTTGACTTTTATGAATGGTGTTGCTGTGATACTTTGTATACAAGTCTTTGTATGGACATGTTTTAAATTCTCAGGAATAAACTTAAAGTGGAATTTCTGTCTTACATAAACTCTGTTTAACATTTTGAGAAATTGCCAACCTTTTTTTCAGGTGATTTATCGTTTATAATTCTGCTTGCAATGTAAGGGGTCTAGTCTTTCCACATTCTCACCAACAGTTGTTATATCTGTGATAGCCAGCCATTTTAGTGGGTATGAGGTGACATCTCATCATATTTTTAACTTGTCTTTTCTTGATGATAAAGGATTTTGAACTTATTTTCATCTGTCTGTTAGCTTTTTATACTTTTATGAATTGCCCTGTTCAACATTTTACCATTTTTAACTCATGCTATTTTCTTATGAGTTGTTACAATTCTCATGTTTTCTGGTTAGAAATCCTTTATGCAGTTACATGATTTGCAAATATTTTCTTTTCTTTTTTTTAAAGATTTATTTATTCATACAGAACTGGGGTACAGGCCAGAGATGC